TCCCTAAACGCGATCGCGATAAATATTAAAATATAATTCGCTACAATCGTACTTCTTGTATGTTGCTCTGTCTTACGGTATAATAAACTGAGTGAGTATCTCATATGATTGTTCCGCGATCGGGACTGCCGTGCAAAGTGTCTCGAAATCATTGCTAATCATATAATGAATCGTGTTTTCGCGAGTGAGTGTGAGTGCCACGAGGACACAGAGAGATGAACAAGAGAGGAAAAGGAGGTTTGGGCGACGGACGGACCAACGATATGCGGTAAATAAATAGTTCGTTCCATAGGTTTTCGAATAACCGTCAATAGCTGAAAAAACACTTTTCGGTACATTTGAAATTGGTTATTAACGGGTTTATTTCAAAATCTATGGAGCGAACTACAATCACTTTGATCTCATTTGAAAGATAATTTAATTCTCTACAACTTTTGTTTCGGTACTTTTTGTTAAAAGACGCATACTTTCCCTGATATTTGTAAAAATGTAAAAAAATAACCGTGATTTCAGAGGTTTTTGGGCGCTAACTTTTTAAGGAAGCATTTTTCAACACATGTTTATAGGAAACTTTTTGTTCGGAATTAAATTACCTATAAAATCTCAAAGTCTGATCGGAACATTTGGGCTCACCCTGTATACATACTTTCGATTTAATGATCACCTGCGTATGATGTCCGAACGACGGAAGTAGGAAGAAGGATATGCGTATGTGAACAAGTATCTCGTTTTGTCGTATGATGCTGGCGCAAGCGTTAACGAGTCTCTGAATCGTCGAAGCAGAATACTGGCCAATTATCCGACAGGTTTCGTATGACGGCCGGCGAGGCAGGAAAATTGATAATTGAATCGCAATTTCGAGCAGAGTGTCGTCCATGACAGGGGGTCCCTCCCAAAACTGTGTTTGGCAGATATCAAAGTGAATCGACAGAGGAGTGAGAATGGTATGACCTCTACCGCGAAAAGCTTTCATACGTATGTAACGCGCCAAGTCAAGCAAAAATATCATGTGAAATTAGTCATTCATATTTATTTTATCCTTTTACTTAATTACAACATATAATAAATCTTACTCTAAAAAAAAAAAAATTTAAACAAAAGTTGTAGAGAATTAAATTATCTTTCAAATGACATCAAAGTTATTGTAGTTCGTTCCATAGGTTTTTGAATAACCGTTGAATAGCCGAAAACACTTTTCGGTACATTTGAAATTGGTTGTTAACTGGTTTATTTTTAATTTATAAATTATTTATCATTTTTATTATTTTTATGATAGACATATATTACTCGTTCTTTTCTCGTTTCTTTGATAGCGTGTGCGTGTATGTGTAAATTTCAAAGAGCATGAATTACAATGTATTACGTATGTATTGTACGTATATAGAATGCGTATATATGCGTCCGCGCGAATTATAATGCGCTGTGCGTGTGTCGTATGTACAAAGTGTGTGAGTATACGAAGTATGTATGTATTGGATGTACGGAGAGCGAGAATAAATACGAGTGTAAATTACAGTGTATCTTAGGACAGAATGTGTAAATGGATATAATTTGCATGCAGTGTGATTAGAAAAAAACCAGCGCGACGCGGATACGGCGCCAGATCGCCATGTCTTGCACGGATCGAAACGGTACAGCGACATCACTATCGATCGGGATATCGAGCGGTGATTGAGGGCAGCGGAGGGTTGTTGCTTTTTTTGCTATACCAAATAGATACGGTAGGTGCGAATTGGATGTGACGTCGATTCTCTATTCGGCGAGTTTGAGCGGTATGACCGTAGTAGGTCCCACTGCGCGCGGTATTACTTGCCGACAAAATGGCGAGGCGACGCGTGGCGTGCGGCGGATGATCGGCCAATATTTTTCTTATTACTTCGATTTCTCTCTTTTGATAAACAATAATTATTTCTTTAAAAATACTTAAAGTTCAATTATATTTCGTCCGATGCTTTATCGTTTGATTTTTTGACGATTTAAATATGATTCGTATTGAGAACTCATAATAAAATAGCCGAATCGCAGGTCCGAGTAATTAACATAACAATAAGCTCTGTGATATATTAATCGTTTATTAAATAATTGACCTATAATTTAAAATACTTGTATAATTTAATATTTCGCTTGTATATACATCATAATACGGAAAATATTTCGGCAGCAAATTATCGATAATATTATTCAGCCTTGCTGGCGATATAAACATTAGCGCGCTATTGTTTATGTGTTTAGCACGGACATGCATCAACCAGTCGTTTTACCATGGCATCAAAAAGTGAATCTGGCCATGTAGTTCCGCCGGCTCTAAAATGGATCCAGTTAGCGCCACTGTACCAGCTAGGAAAACGGTCTCACGAAAAACGGCGGCGTGGCCCCTCTCAGGCTTCTCTCTGGTACAGCTGTTTTGCATTGTCACCAGAGAGAAACCTGAGAGGGGCCACGCCGCCGTTTTTCCTGTAACACTTTCTCTAGCCGGTTCAGTGGCGCTAACTGGATCCGGCCACGTAGTTCCGCCGGCTCTAAAATGGATCCAGTTAGCGCCACTGTACCGGCTAGAGAAAGCGTTACAGGAAAAACGGCGGCGTGGCCCCTCTCAGGTTTCTCTCTGTTGTCACTATCTCTCTTGCTCTCTGTTACTATCTGATGTGACGAGAATTTGGTCGAAGAGAGAAACCTAAAGGAGAATCTGAGAGTAAAATAATAAATCGGCTCACGACTGAGATAATAGCGTAATAAGGCAAAATAGCAAAGGTAAATTTTGCTGTCCACATTTTATATTGATAACAAGAGATTTTGAGCTTTTACGTATAATATATACCAAGCCCAAACCTGCTACTATTTTAAAGTAGTGTCTTTTCCGACAAAATTTGATATTACGGAGATACAAGGTGTGCAGAGCAACGTATTGCTCGCAAATATATACATGTCATATGCAATATCGTACCACTCGTCTGGTGCCATTACTTTATTACATTCTACAGATTAACTTTTGAAGAAGAAACATACATTGTATCACAATGGTTAATATATATATTATGACTGCTAAGAAGACATATATAGACTGACAAAGATTATTATAAAGATTTCATACAATTTTCAAAGAAAGAAATTTAAAACAGTGTGACATATGTCCAAATATTATAAAAATGTCTTTGCAACAGTGGATGCATATAAGATATAACATTGATATACCATGGAAAACATTTGTCAGGGAATCCTCCAATGTACAAGATAAATCTCCAGAAAAATGTATTCATCAATTGGCCTTCCAAGGAAATGAAGCAAAGGCTGCCTATGAAGAAGTTATTCATCAAATTAGTAATAGCAATATTACGACAACAAGATTAAAATATTTAAAATCAAAAACTGTTGGAAACGGAAGCAACTCTGGCACAAATCAAGTTTCCATTAATATACAATCAAGAAAGACTACAGTTCCTGAAGATATTCTAGCAAAAGTCACTATCAATACATTGTTAAAAGCAGTAGAACAAAAGGATTTAAAATTCTTACAAAAACATATGACATCAGAAAATGTGAATGTATGCGACGACTTTGGTTGGACTCCATTAATGTCTGCTGCTTACTGCGGTCATTTGGAAATTGTACAGTTTTTGTTAAATCTTGGGGCTAATAGAAGAACTAGGGATAGGTCTGGTCTTACTGCAGCCCAATTAGCTTTGAAAAGAAATTATTTAAGTATAGTTGCGCTATTAAAAAAAAAATCTGAATTAATGTGTAATAATAATCAATCATTGATAAACGTTCCGAAAGTAAATAATACAAATGCTTTACCAATAAAAGCAATGTCTATGGAATCTTCAGAGCATGATAAAGATGTTTGTATTACACAAGAAAAGATGAAATTACAGCACAACCCAATATTTTACTGTGATGTCTGTAAAGCAACCTTTCAAGAAACAACACCACAAAAACATGAAAGCTCTACTTTGCACATCTTTAACACAAAGCCAAAATTAAAACACACAATATATGGAATATCAAAACAAAATAAAGGATATAGAATGCTTTTGAATTCTGGATGGGATGAAGAAGCTGGTCTTGGACCTTCTGGGAAAGGAATGAAATATCCAATTAAAACATATGTGAAAACGGATCGCAAAGGATTAGGACAACCAGTAGAAAGTGAATATAAAGTTACCCATTTCAAACCAGATGATACAACTGCCATTAGTAGCATTAAAACACCTAAACAGAAACCTTTGAAAAAAAGGGACAGGGAAAGACTACTTCACAGAGAAGCCAGAAAAGAAAGAGCTCTACGTATTGCATTATCTTAAAATACATGTGAATAATTTTATAAATGTGATTATAATATTTACTTGAAGATTGACTGTAATGAAAATAATTATTACTGTTCTTATGTACCTATACTTGTAAGTTTATTCTCAATATTTCTTCATTATAAAATATATCAATGTTACATATCAATATTAATTTCTTTTTATTTTCTATAAATACTATTAACTCGAAATTTTTTTATATAATATATGTCAATTATATGTTAATAAAACTGTAAAAAAAAAGCATATTTAATGTTTATTTTACTAAAATGTAGCAAGAATGAAAACCTCAGATATATACAAATGCCTTTCAATATTTAATAGTAAAAGTAAGTATAATATATAAATTTATTAATATGTTACAGATGATGAGTGAACATCAAAGATTATTGGAACACTTAGAAAAAGTTGAAAATAAGGCTGGCGAAATTCTCACTGATCGCAAAGAAATAATTGCTTTGGATAAGAGAAGAAATGATGATCGCATTGGAATAAGGGCACTACAAAAACAAATACATGAAAAAACGTGGATAACAGTGGGTCCATTGCTATTAAAGATGCCGTCTAAAGCAGCTGAAGAATTACTCGAAAAAGGTAATTCCAAACACAAAAAGAAATCTATTTACATTCTTTAATTTTCATATTCGACAATAATATTATTGGTATTTCAGATCAGAGAGAATCTAGTACTGCGATTAATAAGTTAAGAAGCGATTTAAAGATAAAAGTAAATGAATTACGTGACTTAGAATTGACTCCACCAGTACCTGGATTAATGTTGGAACCTATGTCCCATAATGAGATGGATGCAATAAGACAAGTTCTAGGTCGCAGTGTTTGATATATATGCAATAAAATCTTTATTTTGTTCAAGTAAGTACAGTCAAAGTAAACATGTGAACCTATTATATTTAATTGTAAACATTTATATAAAATATAAAGTAATTTTTATCAAATATTAACAAACTAGAAAGTTATCATTAAAATAATTTCACATACATATTCTATAGAAAAAGAAAGTCATATTTCTTATTTCAATAACACATAAAATAAAATTGTTTATTTTATTAACTTCATGGCATTTGCGCATCTATCTATTTTTTTCACATGACGTGCGTCTTTCCTTATATAAAAAATATTCTTTAGATTTATGTATTTACTGAAAAGTACTGTTATAATTTTCTGCTTTTTCAACAAACCATGACTTTAAGAAGAAATACATTTCGTCATTAGAAGCTTCTTCACTATAATTTATGACATCATTAGATGCATCATAGTAAAACTTATACATGCACTCATTATAATCTTTGATGACAAACTTTTTGACATGGTCTAGAAATATTTTGCAAAACTTTTTACATTTGCCCACATTACAACAAGGCTGCAATAGTAAATAATTACAAATTATCATATTAATTAATATATATGTTATACATAAATATTATATAGTTTTAATGCTATTACTTACTTTTGAAAGCTCTGGCAGAATCTGCATAGGATGTTCTTTTATCATTTTCACTTCCCAATATCTATTTTTTAATCCACATATAAGTCTTTCTATTCCTGCTAAGTAATTCTGACTCCACCATATAATTACTGTTTTAAAAGGTATTGTGCCATATTTATCGTACAATACTGTGCCGATTTCATTATAAACTTTCATTGGTAATGTTTTCAATTCAATCAATTCAATTGTTTTGCCAATAAGTGTATCCGTTATAGGCTGTGGTGAGGAAATAGCATCTATTTCTGCTCCATATAATAATGAATGATCTCCAAAATTTGCTTTAATTACACAGTAAAATTTTTTACATTCATTAAGAGGTACTGATGTATTTGGTTTATGCGATGGTTGATCTATGAAAAAATAGATATATTATTTAATCAGTTTAATTACATGAATTAAATAAATAATTATATTATTATATTTGAAGTAAAAATAATTTTTGATCATTCGTACATAATAATTTAAAATACCTGCTACCATATATTGTTCAAACTTGTATCCCAATGAACTCAATCGTTTTTCTTGTGTAGTTGCATTGACATGTCGATGTTCTTTTTCATTTGTGTAAAATTCGCATAAATATATCGTACCACGGTATTTGCTAGCACAAATAATCCAGTTTTTAGATCTTTCATAAGGGGTACATAATATTGTTTTTAATGCGCCACGACGGCAAATAAAATCAGTATCCAACCTAATTAATACTTATTTTTTAATTAGTGTGTAAAAAAGTAACGGTTACACAATTGCTATATATAATGTTAATAATAATTATAAACATCTATAATTTTTAG